ACTAAGTCGATGAAAAGAAAAAAAATAAAACGGTAGAATCCTTAACTCCGTTGCAGTCTTCGCGGTTTAAGTATTAAACTACCGGAGACTTTGTGTTTTGATAAGATATTCAACGGTAAAGTTTTAAAAGCGTAGAGGGTAGAAGTAAACACAACAAGGGACGTCATCTGCACATGTCTGAAATTTTCCATGACGCAAACAAAATAGTTCCCGCATGAAGTCACTTGACATGCTGCCAGGTCTCATGACTTCACGCTCGCGCTCGGATGTGTGTTCTTTTCAGGACTCGGTGAGTGTCTTTATTGGTTTTCCTTTTTTTTATCTCTTTTTTTCCCCGTAACTCTTGATGATTTTGTTTTCTAATTGGTAGATTTGATGTATTTTCATCCAGTGTAAATCAAAACCGAGTTGTGGTTTTGAAAGTTGCGCGCGTTAATTGAATGAAATTAACTGAATTCCTACCCGCCCTTCGTACTGAAATTTATTCGTAATTCTCGGAATCATAAACAATGGAAAGACTCCAAATTCCCCAAGGGTCAGATATAATAATTAACGACAGGGTTCATTGGAGTTGGCGCCTAAATGTGGAAAATTCAACATTTAGTTCCAATCCCCCTTGAATGTTTTTACAAGTGAATCGATTCCTTTTACTTTTTTCCGACAGTGGAAGATGGAATCCAGCCAAGGCAGTCAAATCTGATCGTTAGTAGTACGTAAAGGAAAGCATTTACCGACCTGTCGTTATTCAAAAGATAGCGCTGAGATTATATTCACGGCACCGGTAAGTTAATACCTCGGACTTTAACAATTTATTTCTCGTTTTAATCCGGTTCGTGCTTCTTGTAACTGCGCTACGTTTTTGCTTTGCTAACAGAGAAAACTAAGATCCATCAAGTTAGTCAACAGTTCGATCATTGACAGGCTCTATAAGGTCCTTGCCTTGCTCATTTGCAGTCGTGAAAATTAAGCCCAATTTTAGCAAAACCAGGTAATGTTTATTGGATATGCCTACAATTTATTACCCTGGTCCCAGAGGTTCTCTTCTCTCTACCGGAGTACGAGAATTCGGCGCAGAGCGCCGACCAACGAGCTGTAAAGCAGCGAGCGGAGAGGACCGTTGAGAATCTTACTTTCCTGCCACCAAGCTTCGGGTGACAGCCATCAATCACGTCCCTTTCCGATAACCAATCAGAGTAAAGTATTAAAATACCTCTGGGGGTAGGTGTAGTGTTTTCACTTGTATCTGGAGTGGGCGTGGGGCATATATTTTGTTTCGTGGCCGTATTTACAATATCTGTCAAAATATTTGCTACACGTGCCAAATGACAAGCTCGCATGTAGTACGAACTCCAACAAAAACCCCGATTAAAATCTACTTCCCTCGGGCAAACGATTATTGCCGATTTTGCAACGAAAACGTCAAGATAAATGGCTATTCTCAATTGAATATTTTCACCGAGAAGAATCGAGATTTTCTGCGCCGCTTTAGGCTTGTTGTGAACGCCAAAGTTGAAAACAATTCCAAGGTCTCACAAGTGCTCTGTAATAAGTGCTACAGGCCTGTCCTAAAGCATGAAAAGGCACTTAGTCGATCC